ACATAGTCAAGGAGAAAAAAGAACTTACTGTTAAAGCTTATGATAAAACAAGGGAGGCTTTTCAAAAAACATTAAATGAAAGACCAGATAGACTTCTTTCTTCCACTAACACAATGAAAAATATTTTGAATTTTGCTGATTATTTTAAAAAAGAAATTGGTTCTCGTTCCTCTGCACTTACTTCCTTGAAAAATATAGATGAAGGACTAATAGAAGCCCATGAAGACCCTGAAGGTCTATTTAGACTTATTATGGATGAATTAGGTTACGAATTTAAGTTTGAATTTTTGAATTCTAAGCATTCAGGTGCTTGTTTATGTAACCTTTTAGTAAAGAAAATGAATATAAATTGCATTGGTGCAGCGAAATGTAAAAGTGATGCCCAGAAAAAAGCTGTAATAAATACTCTTAAAGTATTGATAGTAATGTCTAAATCATAGTTACTCAAATATATAAATATTTTCAATTGAATTAATTATATATATATATGTGTGTGTGTGTGTGTTATATACATGTAAATTTTATAATTATTTTGTTATTTTTTCATATTGAATTGTTATTAAAATTTATAAAACTGTGCAATTGCATTCACTTTGCTCAATACTTTAATATTTAATGCAGCGGTTCATACACTATGTAACCTAGAAGTGTTCGGTTGAGGTGGTGAGGCTGTACCTTGCCTAGGGTCAATGTTGGCATTGAGTCCTCCCCAATCTCAGGGGAACAAATGACTAGCTCAACAGAAACCTTTGGTCTTTCTTAAACCATGCACGACCTAAGTGTCATCCTGCTTCTACCAAACACGGCTGATCTTGGCCGGAGATCATAACAAATATCTTAGGTAATGAACTGCATAATGTTATAACATGAGGCTGAAGACAGTATGAGTTGGTAGTACTCTTAAAGTATTGATAGTTATGTCTAAATCATAGTTTCTCAAATATATAAATATTTTTAATTGAATTAATAATATATGTTTATATACATTTAAATTTTATTATTATTTTTTCATATTCGATTGTTATTAAAATTTATATATAAAACTGTGTTGGTGCATTCACTTTCCTCAATACTTTAATACTTAATGCAGGGGTTCATGCATTGCATAGTGTATTAGTAGTTCAGAGTTGGCATTCCATCCATCCGGCCAGTAGATTTTTGATTTTTTATTCTTAATTTTTTTATATAAAAAAAAATCAATTCTCTATCTGTAATTAAAGTGTAAATGGAGGATATGAATTATGTATGCTTGATATGAATAACAAAATTACCCATTCCATTCTGTACTATACCACTTCCTTACTGAAAGGAAGGCATAGTTGTGGCCATGTCCCAGTATGGGAAACTCCCAGTTGTACATGTTATACAAATGTTGGGTGCTGTTTATTTAATTCTATTATATACCCTCACCTACATCAAAGACTACACACTTTTCAATATGGTTAGTATGTGCATTACTAGATTACTTATAGGAGAACAGAAAGTGGCTTTTCAGCTACACTGAGTTGCTAAATCAAATAGCATACTCATCAGTCAACAGTTATTATTTCAAAACCAAAGAAAAGAGAGTTAGGTGCGACCTTTGTAATGTATACTAAATATGTCAATCTTACAGAATTGAATAAGTAAAAGAGAAGATTTATTTATATGTTCATAGGAGATTCCTAACACCTCTAAAATAATAGTTTCTCTCATAGTCTATTTCTGCTCTCTTCTAATAACAAGCCTCTGCAAGAAGTTACCCATTGTAAGAGAGATGATTCTCCTACTTCCCTAAACACTGAGAATTTTCTCTCTCCAAATTCATCTCTGTATTTTTCTTTTAAGTGCAGCATGCATGTTATGTTTCTTTATATTATTTTGTGGCGGTAATATTTAATTATACAATAAGTAAGGTATTTATTTCATCCAAATTTCCTCTTTCTCTGCCTGTGTCTTTATCTTCATCATTAGTTTCAATCTGATCATGTGATCTGGTATTAGTACCTCTTTATCTGTTGTAAAAATGATAAAATGTCAACAAACTCGGATGTTTAATAAATACAGAAACTAGCTTTCTGTATTTAGGCTATAAATTTTAATGAAACATGTGTAGTTGTTTATTTCTAGAAGTTTAGACAGTTGATTTTTCATAGTATTGTGGCGTGGTAATATTCTTTGTCAGTAGAATTTAACAGCTCAGTTTTATATATTCCTGTGTAATATATGACAAGGGAAAGGCTAGTAACTCGTATGAGGATATTGAGGACAATTTTACATAAAAACAAGCTGTAGTTATATCCAAACCTTGTTTTTAAATAAATATTTCTTTGAAATAGCTCCTAAATCAAGCAAAGTTAGTATTTCAGTTTATTGGTCATGTGTTTTTCAACTAATACAATATTAATGATTTATTCTCATGTTAACCATAATCAATATGATAAAAAGTGAAATTACAATATCAACATAAAGTTTATTCAGCCATAATTCAGTTTTATATCACTTCCAGTTATCAAAATCATTATTACTACAAATGTTGTTAAATATTTTATGCAACATTTTAAAAAAGTTCCATTTTATCAGTTTTGATGACCATTTTCTTGAAATTAACTCCTGGGTTTTAAAAATTTAACTTTTAATCATGTATGTAAAAACAAACGTTATTTTAAATGACTAATAGGCCTTAGATTATGTATATAATGAATTGCCTGATTCTCATATTAAGAATTTACAGCAAAATTATCCTTTTATAATTAAATCAACTGTTTAAACAGGACTTAATTAAAATTAAAAAAAAAATAAAAAGTAAATCTTTAAAACATTTATGTAAAAAGTTCTAGTCATCCACTCTAAAAGTTTCTCCCTTAGTTTGTTTGTGTATAGATTACATAGATAGAATACATTGTAGGAACAGGAGTTGATAAATTTTATGTTGACTAAGTATTTTTTATTTTTATTCTTGGCGCTACGGTCCTGTAAGAACCTGAGTCTCACTTATAATTCTTCGCACACTGGGCCATAGATCCAGCGGAGAACTCTTCTCTTCCATGCGAGTAGCCTTTATTCCTAAACTTTGTAGATCACCCAAGTCTCAGAGCCAGGTGATGAGGAGTCTGATGACTTTCTCATACACCGTGATCTTTATTTTGTAAGAAAGGTATCTGTAATTTAATATTTTTTGCATTGCATAACTGCACCTATTCCAAGCAGTCATCCTTGCTTTTAATTCTTCCACCATTTCATTATTTTCAGTAATTAGTGCTCCCAAATATTTAAAATTTTTGACCACTTTTAGGGTGAGATTACTAATTGTGATGCGTTCAACTTTTTCATTTGGCTTTTTTGACAATAATTCTTCTGTTTATTTATTTGTAGTCCTAGTTCTTTAGTTGCAGTTTCAAATTTTTCTAATGCCCCTGCTAATGCTGTTTTATTTTTTGCTGTTATTACATCATCAGCCAGATGCCGTATCATTTTGTTATAAATTGTGCCACCAGGATATGTCCGTATCGCCCTTATTGCATACCCTAAAGCAATATTAAATAGAGTAGGGGATAAAGAATATCCTGGCCTAAGCCCATCTTTCACCTCGAAATGCTCCAACAATTGGCTATTGATCTTCACAACTGATCTATGACTGATTTGAGTCATTCTTGTCAAAGTCACCAGTTTTTTGGGTATTCCCAATTTTGTCATTGCCTTCAGTAATTCTTCCCTGTTTATACTATCATATGCCTGTTTAAAATCTATGAAAACGTGATATATGTCCATTTGTTTCTCGCATGTTTTTTTCTAAAATTTGCCTTATTGAGAAAATGTGATCTATAGTTTATTTACAAGGTCTAAAACTACACTGGTATTTACCTTCTCGGACCAAAATTGAACTTTTTTAATCAACAGAACTGAAAATACTTTTTATATCGTACTTAACAATGAAGTACCTCTATAATTGTCACAGTTTATTTTTTCTCCTTTTTGAAAAAAAGGGCATATGATAGCAGTAGTTCATTCTTTAGGCATTTGTTCTGTTATCCAGAGCTCCATGATTAGGTTGTAGATCTCTCTTAACAAAGGTATCCGCAATTCTTCACTATCTCTGCATCTATACCAGGACATCAATTATTCTTCAATGCGCCTATTACATCTAAAAAATCTTCATAATATGGAGGCTGTACGTCACTGTTGTTAACTTCCCCCTGCCCTACTCTAGGGCAGTTTTGCACTATGCTGTCATCCAGCATTTCCTTAAGAGAAGTGGGTTTTCGGCCCACTGTCCCTAGTCAGAGGTGAAGGGGTTGTCTCCTCAGAACATCCTCTCTTGCTCCCCCTACCAGGATGGCTACCTAGAGAAGATAACCCTAGGGTGTGTTCTGTAAATGGTCTTATGTTCAGTGTACTGTTCCCCCAACCTGGAGGACCAGTGGCTGATTGCAGTAAATTTATCTCCCTATGCTACTAAGTATTTTACGAAGTCTAATTATATTAATATTGGTAGACTAAGGGGGACCCCTGTCTGCCTAACGGCAGACCAATCCCCATTTTATAAATTATACAACTGTTCATTTAATTACACTACGCATTGCTCAAAAACTAATTTAAATGTATTCTTCAGTTCAGATTGTATTATTTTTTATCAACATAAAATAAACAGAATGAAACCACAGTTCAGACAAATTTTTAATTTCTTTACAAATCTATATTATACATTGTGCCTTATTGTTAATTTGTAACCATAATAAGAGAGAAATAATTCTGGTAATAAGAAGTGTGGTGTCTTTGTTATGGTCTGTTCAGCTTTTTCTTTTTATGTAAAATAAAATATTATATGGTCACTAAAAACGTTTTTATATAATAGAGAGATAATAATAACACTGTCTAATAGATTTGTATTATATCATGCAGTACTCCTTACTCAAGCTCATGAATGATTCCGATATCTAAAATTATTTACCTGTTGCTCATTTCTGACCAATTTGTTTGTTGGTCAGAAATGACCAACAGGCAAATGAACCATTATAATCTAAAATTATAATATAGCTATGATATAAAATAAAATATGAAAAATGTTGTTTTTAAAAAATCTTTTTATGTTTTCACTTAAGACAATCACCTGGAGCTTATTAGCAGCGTGGATTATTGTTTTTGGATCAACATTTGTTTTATGAATTAGTTGGGCTACTTGAATTTCTTTCCTTTCCAATTCGGATTCTAAAACTGAAATTTTCTTTTCCAAAACATTAACTCTCAATGCATTTTTCTTCTGAATATTCAAAATAAGTGTTGAGTAATGAGCCTTCATCTCATCTTTTTCAAACTCCAACTGAAAATAATTAGCATTTTTTTATTTGTATTTATTCATTAAGCAAAAATATATTTTCTTAATCTGATCAAATTATTATATTTTCCTTTGAGGGAAACCTATTACTTTATAAATTGAAAAATATAAATGTTCTACAATGTTTATTTAGTCCATTCGTTTTAAGCATTCAAATTATGACTGTATTAGCTAAGATGATTTTCATGAAGCTGAATCACCTTGTTACTAAATAAACTTAATTAATATGAATTGATACAAAAAATTTAGGTTTCACAAATTTTTATTTTAAGAAATTTATAATGAAGACAAGACTTCTTATCAACCATGTTTTAATAAGAATGAATTGAGTAGTAGTAACTCAATATTGCTCTGTTACACAGATGGATCACAGAAAGATTAAACTGGTCAGAAACAGTTGAGTCTTAATAAAAGGTTCAGACATTAATTTAAATATTTTATCAGATAAATATGAGAGTGTGGTGTAGACCAAGGATATTGCCATATTGTGACAAATTAGAAGTTACACGTTTGTAATGTAATGTGGGCATTACAAAGATAGGCAGGCTGCTCCAAGCTCTTGGATCTGACTTCCATTCTATTGGGTTGTCCGGAAAATAATGCAGAATTTTGGTTTGAAAAGAAAGATTGACAACTGTTTTATTTCATCAAATAATCTCCACTATTGTTAATGCATTTCTGCTGGCAATTTTTCTATTACCTGAGAATAGAATTTCCTATCTTTAAAATTGATTAACTCCAAAAATACATTTTCTTATTACCTTTGCCCATTAAATTTTTCGTCACATAAGTAGTGATCCGGGAGTCTAAAAATTTTTTTTTTGACATAATAGTGGTTTGAATGCTATTAAGAGAATTGAAATCCATGGATGCTTTGCATTAATTTGGTTACAATATGATTCGTCATTGATGGTTTCTCCAAGACTTAAGAAGCTGTAGTGTATCAAACCAAGGGTTGGGGCTTTGGAAAATGTTCTGCTGCCTCTCCTTTGTTTAGCCACTGTACAGAATGTCTACTGTAATCGTAAAGTATCCACAATTCTGGACAGATAAAGATCTTTGTTTTTTTTTTCGGAAAAGAAGCGTAGCACAAACTTCATAACACTGCTTTTTTTGGCAGTCGTTTAATGTGTGTGGAACCCAACTTTCAAGCTTTTTTACCTTTCCGATCGTCTTGAGGTGGCCATCAAAGGGTGATTCGCTATGGTTAAGTTTTCCTGGAAGTTCTCGAACAGTTGTTCTGGGGGTTTCTTCCACCAAGGTCCGCAGAACATAGTCATAAAGAGAGGAAGTCTTTCCACGACCTTTGACTTCAAGGCTGAAGTCTCCCTCCCAAAATTTTTTGAACCACCTTTGAACAGTGCACTCATTAATGCTGCTCTTGACCCAGACTTGACTGATGTTTCTGGACGTATGGGTCCCATTCCGGCTGAGTTTCTCGTAAAACAAAATTATACAAAAACCACGCGTTGACATCTTAGTAAAGATTGAATTATTCTAAGCTGCTAAATCCTACAGAGGTAAACAAACATTATCATTTAGAAGAGAATTAATAAGTGTTGACATTCATACCAATGAATGATCCAGTAAATGTAAACAGTTTGTTATGTTGAGGGGTATTCTAAAGAAAACTCAAAATCCATTATTATTTTATGTATTATTTTCCGGACAACCCAATAGGATAAGAGAGCAAACAGGCAATGCAGCAACCTCTGGCACTGCATCAACTGAAAGAGGTCTATGATTGGGCTTTGGAGAAGCTGAGAAGGAATGGAAGAAACATCCTTGCAAATAATAGACAGACTAATCAGTCAATCAAATAATTCTCTCATTGATCCCACTGGCTGTTTAGCTTACAGAGAAAATAACTTTGATTGATTATTAAAACATTTGAGAGGTTAACGAAATCTGTCGCATAGGCATGCTCGTGAAACCACTACATTGCAGACTGTGTCCACTAAGTATCATTTATTAAAAGGCTGCTGAGTTCAGATAGAAACTAGGAGCATAAGGCTCCTTCAATTGATTAATCAGATCTTTTGAATTTTTTGGGGGGGGAAAACCAAGTTTTATAATGGAGAAGTAATGGATTTCCAATGAGTTATTCTACTAGTCTTCGCAAAAAGAAGCTATAGGCTCAATTGCTTGCTACTTAAATATTTTAAAATAAGTGGTTTCATTATATGTTAAAATATCTGTTATTGAAGAATAAAGAAAAGGCGGTGATGAAAGGCTATTGTGATGAATATTATTAGAGATTCTAAGGATATTATGTGTTTCTTCTGCTACACCTTATATTAAAATGTTTTTTAATATTATTTACAGATACCCTTTCTCTGTTCTATTATTATTTTATCAGTCCGATAAAAGCTTTGTTTTTTACTCACTCAACCTCCTAATATGTACAAGGATGATGAGTAATTTTGTTCACTAACCTTTTCAATTTCCATTTCTGACACATCTTTCTTTGTTGAGATTTCATCAAAATCTTTCTGAAGGGTAGAAAACCTCCGGTGCATTTCCTATAAAAATATCTAATAAAATGATGGACTATTTTAGTAAAATGCTTATTATTTTGTATTACTCATAATTGTATTGAATTTTAGATTAATACAGCAATAATTTTATGTAAATTATAAGTATTAGAGATATCTTAGTATTTTGTTCAACTGTTGTTTACAAATAACTTATTAGCAGAGACTAAATATTTATGTAATTTTTTATTGGTATCCTAGTTTTAGACAATCCTTGGGGATAGATTAGAGATCAATAAATAAGAGACTTATTGTAAATTTTGAAATAAAGCCTGAGAAATCAAAATTACTAATATATCAAAGAGGAAATGATACTTAGGGGTTATAGATAAAAAATTAAGTTCATAAGAAGATAAGCCAATAGAAATAGTTAAAACTTTTTAATACTTGGCTATTTTGGACAACTTATCTTTAAAATATCATTTAGAAGAAAATTAAGACTATTAAAAATAGAATGAAGATGAATTAGTCCAAGAATATACATGTATATACTGCTCAAAAATGAAAAGGAATCTTACTATTTGATGCTTATTTTATCCATTTTAATTAAAATACTCTATTTTTTTTTCTTTTCTTTTTTTGGGAGGCGGGAGATTCTCTTATTTATTGATAAACATAAAAGGTAATCAACAAGTATTCTTTATTTTTAATAAATTATTAACTTAAATATAGTCAACATGGAGGATACTTATTTTGTAAACCAACAGTTGTTTTAAACTTTTCTCAATTTTAATCCAGTTACATTCTTTTGAACGAAAGAAAGACATCATATTGAACCACAAGTTCAAAATATTATCATCAGAATGGGTGGTCAAGGGCACCAGCAAGTGGATATCGCCAGTGTAATTGGCATCCCCAAATTTTGGTCTCCCGAGCTTTAACCAGATTCAGAAAACCGGAAGTACCAATAGGAGACATATTAGTAGATCTCATCACATTATGGTACTAATGGAAGACAGAAAAGGATTCCTTCTTGCAGTAATGCCAATATATTACTGCAAGAAGGAATCCTTTTCATAGTGACCGACAGAGATTAAATAAAGTGTTGGATGTTCCGCCAAGGTCCTTACCAACACAAACCGTTTGTAGGTAGTTGGTCTAATATCTTGCAGCAACAGTGCATCGCCAGCAACTCCGCTGATCATGGTGCACCGAGCGCCTAGATGAGGATATAAACTGAAATGCTTTTATGTTTACAGAAAAATCGCGATTCTGTATTGATAATCATAGACGCCGATGAATCTACCGAGAACAGGGGATGGGTACATTCCCACAGTTAGTGCTTTCTTCAATGCCATCTAGTCAGGAGGATGGACTGTACTCCATCTTGTGGAAAATAATATCATTGCAGTTAGTTCTGTTCAAGAAATTATAGAGGAGTGCATTCCTTAAAACACGGTCATAATTGGCTCAGATTTCGATTTTCTTGACAATAATACGCGAACTCATATGGAAAAAGTTGTTGATAACTGTCTTAAAGTTTTATATATGTCACATCTGTCCTTTTCCGAATTGTATCCAAATCTCAATCCCATTGAGCACATGTTGGATGCACTGAGAGCAGTATTACCATTAGAGATGGGTAAGCTTTATCAGATACTAAAAAGTAGCTGATACACAGAGATACAAGATATTTTATTGCCCACCTTTTCTTAAAAATAGCAAGCTAAGGTAGAATTAGAAAAATCTTGGATCATATACAATTATACTTGCTGTGGTATTTTCTATGTTTTTCCCCTCATCCCTTAGTCCGAAAATTCATATACCGTCGAAATTTGCCCCTCTCAAAAATTTTGATGGTGCAGCTTGTTCCATAAAACTCCGTTCTGGGTATCCCTGCTGATACAAGCATTAGATACAACCCAAAAGTATCTGATACAGATTACATTACATTAATTTGATACAAATTACAGATAAAGTATCTGAAGGTTGTACAGACTTGCCAGATAGATGTAATAGGATTGTTATATTTTTGGCTGTACACAATTTCTTTAAAACTACCTATTCATTTATTTTAATTTAGTTAAATGTTTATTTGTAGCTAAATGTATTCAGGTCTCTTTTTTTTCTTTTTTTTTTTAATGCAATGTTGATTGGTATAAACTTTCTCTAAAATTTATAATTCATTTGTTTTAGTTCAGGTTTATGACTTATTTGTTCATAGTACTATTTTATAAATTTTAATTACTACTTTATACTTATACTTTAATTGATTAAATAAATTTTCACATCTACTATTTTAGTATAGTTTTGTTATACTTCCTTTTATTTTTAACTCATAATGTTCATTCATAGTAATATTTGTAGAAAATCTTCATTTCTGAACTAATATGAGCATCCAAAACCGTTATTTTACTTCTAAACCAATCATGTAGCTTTAATTCATATTAAAAATATTCAATATTCAAATTGAATGTTTTGGTGAGCAGTTGGAGTACTGAATATGTAGAATATTGAGGTGAACATATAGATTAATTGGTTTTATATGTCTTCATACACTGAAGGTTAGATATTTATATTGAGTACTTTTATCCATACCCCGTCCTTCTCATTGACACTGGCCTTGCTCTGCTACTGTCACTCTAGAACATCTTTCGCATTTTACCTATTGAAATATTTCTAATTTTTTTTTACATTCAAAAATTTCCTACGATTTTAAAATATTTTATAGATATAGTTGACTACATTATTTCCAATTCCATTAAAACCATCAATTGGAAATTCTAATTTATTTCAGCCACATAAAATAGTAATATAAATTACTATTTATATTCACTTCAATACTATATCTACACAGTCCTCTAAATACTCACCAATATATTTCAATATTCAATTTGAATTTTAATTAAAACTACTCAATTAGGTTAGAAGTAAAATATCGTTTTTGGGTGTACTTATCAGTTCGGAAAAAAAGATTTTCGACAAATATTATTATGAATGAACATTATGTGTTAAAAGTAAAAAGAAGTAGATAAAACTATACTTTTTTTTTTGTTTGTTTATTTAATGCAATTACAACTGTATACAAATACAACTAGTAAATATGCGCAAATATAAATAATGGCATGTACAGGCTTGAAGAGATACTACCCAGTAGTAGCACTCTCTAAATAATTTTAAGTAAGAAGATCACGAGACAATCTCCTTTTCAGACGCCTAGGAGGAAAAACTATATTAAAATAGCAAATGTGAAATTGTATTTAATTAATTGAAGTATGGGTATAAAACACTAGCGGATCCAGGATTTAATTTTGGGGGACTTCAGCCCGAAGGTTTTTTTTCCATGTATGTAACGATAATTACTTTGGAAAAACAGTAAGATACTTACTACCTATATTATTTTTTTTTTTTTTTTATTAATGAAATTTACAACTGTAATTAATAATAAATACAACAAGTAAATATGCACAAGTAATATGACATGTACAACATGAGGAGAAACTACCCATTGGTAGCACTTCACTACCTATATGAAATGATGTTTTAGTGATACTTGAAGTACTATTAAATGTAATTAAACGAGCAATAATATTAAGAAATTAAGAAATAATTTTTAAATATTTTTTACTATAAAACATGGTTATCTTTTACCATTTTGGGGAAAAGAGGAGGGTCTTCAGCCCAAAAGCTCTCCCCTTAGATCCACCTGTGGTTTAAAATAGTAAATTTATTAAAAGTATCATTACAAATAAGTCAAAATCTGAACTAAAACCAATGAATTGTCAATTTTGGAGAAAGTTTATATCAATTAATATTATCTTATATAATAAAAAAAGCTTATTTATCTACAAATAAACACTTAATTAAATTAAAATAAATTAATAGATAGTTCTAAAGAAATTGTGTACAAACAAATATACAGAGTGTCCTGTAAGGAGAGGGAAGTTTTTATAGGAGTAATGGTCTGTGGGCAAGATTCCTCTCCCCACACATCCCTATAAATTGCATATCGTTGTGTTCCTTGTAACTATTTATTGAAAAAAAGCCAATGCTCCCACAAAAAAAAGTGAATGCACTGCCCCAAACTTGGCTGACTGATGACTTTGACTTTAGTTAGTTTTTTGATCACTGAGAATCACATTTGGCTTAATTTCCTCATAGTGGGTCTTTTATTAAAGCTGGATAGTCAGAGAATAATAAACCACGAAAAAATAATTGGCTTAGGCAATAAAAAACACCAATTAAGTCAATTTTTTTAACAAAAACATTTTAAAGTTGAAAATCAAGCGTCGTTTGTAATTAAACGGCCAACAATAACGCAAAACGTGCTTAAATAAAACAGCTAGAGAATATATTTCTCTTTCTAAAACACTGATTACTTTTTAATATATTTGAAGCATATCCGTAGAAAATCCACTTAAACCGCAGTAAAGCGGTACTTGCGTAAGTGCCTACAAGCCTGTATCACACCATTCAGTGCTCATAAATGTCTTAGATATAGTGCTATAATAACGTTTTTGGTACATTATATTGATTGTATTAACGAACAAATATTAAAGCAATAATTTTTATTGTCCTTCTTCTTTGTCTTCCTCTTCATGCCATTACTAGCGTCGAGGAGCCTCTATCCAATGCAGCCATGCCTCTCGGTCCCTACTAAGCCGCCTCATTTCCTGGAGGGTTTTGCCTCTCTTCTCTCCAATCCGCTGCATATATTCCTGATAGGAAATTCTGGGGCGGCCCCTCGGCCTCCTCCCAGTGAGTGGGTCGAGCTTCCAGAATCTTCCGCGGATCTCTCTCCTCCTCCATCCGGCAAACGTGGCCAAACCACTTCAACTGTCGGTTTTCCAGTAAAGTCCTCAGCTCCGCCACCTCCAGGTCCTCTCTTATGCGTTCATTTCTGAGGCGGTCTCTCCTGGTCTTTCCAGCAGCTCTCCGCAGGAACTTCATCTCGGCTGCTGTCACACGGCTAACCTGCTTGTCCAGCATAATCCAGCTTTCGCTTCCATACGTGAGGGTTGGGAGGTATACCGAGTTGTATATGTGCCTTTTTGTTTCCTTGCCAACTTTCCTGTGTCCTACTATACTGTTGCTGATAGGATAATATACCTGATTGGCTTTGGATATCCTATTCGCTACTTCTGGGTCTATCTTCCCCTTGTTGCTGATAATTGTACCCAAATAGGTGAATTCTTGCACAACTTCAAGAACCTGCCCGTTACAGATCAGCTGGACGTCCTCTTCTTCATCTCTTGATATGACTAGGACTTTGCTTAAAAAATCTTTTGCAAATGTACTAAACAGAAGGAGAGCTATGAGCTATAACTTTCTCGATATCCTGCTTCAAAGTGAAGATAGTCCCAATGTGCACCTTCAACAATCGAAAATAAAGTGGTTTTCACCATAATAAACCTACATCGCCCACTTAATATCATCCAAACTGCAATTGGCCCTCTTTTAGCAGCATCTTGAAATATTCTGTTCATCTGTCTACTATGCATTCATTTAGCTATATAATGGATACTGGTCCTTTTTATCTTTTCCGAGGTTTTGGCACTTCCTTTCTTGTTCACTTAATGTATTTTTCCAATTTTCGGGTTCAATTTCGCGTTTTTCCTCATTTTGAGACCAAATACCAAAAATCAGTTCTGGTTTATTGAAGAACTTATAGTGTCACTCTTTCTATCTTTCTTTGTGCAGAGAGAATAAATCATTCAATATTAAAATTCCCTATTCATTTATGATATAGTCCAACTTCCGCACAAAATAAAGAAAATAAAAATTAATTTTTTAATTAGTGATATATGAGTTTTACTAAACAACCCGGCAGCTATTCATTATATATAGTTGAGATTACGTATATATTATTTTAGTTTATAAAACAGGTACTGATATGACTCATTTCCTGGGAAGTATATACAAATTTTAATTACCTTTAAGAATCCGTAAATATGCAAAACACAGTGTTAAATTGTAAACGTAAAATTAAAAAAAAATCAAGTTATTTAGGAAAGTATTTTTAATGAAGTTTTATCATCATAATTATATCATTTTTACAATTGAGGTCTTCTTAAACGACCAACGTATAGAATAAAGGAAGTTAAATTTAATTTTTTTTTTACAATTAAATTATTGCATTAGTATTTGTTCGTTAATAAAACCAATATAGTGTACCAAAAACGTTATTATATCACTATAACTAAGCCATTTATGTGTACTGAATGGTGTGGTAGAGGGCTGTAGGCACCCACGCCAGTACCGCTTTTCTGCCGCGTAAGTGCATTTTCTTCGGAACTGCTTCAAATTTTTTTTAAAATAATCAGTGTCTTGGAAAGAGAAATATATTTCCAGGTGTTTTATTTCAGCACGTTTTGCGTTATTGTAGACCGTTTAATTACAAACAGCGCTTGATTTTTAACTTGAAAATTGTTTTGTTAAAAAATTGACTGTACTGGTGTTTTTCGTAGCCTACGCCAATTATTTTTTAATATTTATTCATGTTTTATTATTCTATAACTATTCAGCTTTAATAAAAGACCAACTATGAGGAAATTAAGCCAAATGCTGATTCTCAGTGACTAAAAAACTAACTAAAGTCAAAATCTTCAATCCGTCATGTTGGGACGCCATTTTGGGGCAGTGCGTTCACTTTTTTATGTGGAAACATTGGCTTTTTTTAAATAAATAGTTACAAGGAACATAACGATATGCATATTATACGGATGTGGGGGGAGAGAGGGTGCACTGTAAGGGGTCTGGCCCACCGTGTGAACGTTTCAGAGCCCAAAAAAAAATATTTTTAGCCATTGGTCTGTCTATCTGTGACAAGATTTTCTCGGGAATTATTGAACCGATTTTGTTGCTTCTTTTTTTATTTTGTAGGGTTTTGACTACTGATG